CCCTCCCTTATCTCTATTAGCATAGTATATTAATAGATTTTCTAACATTGAATTAATCTTGTATTCCCCAAATAAATCTCACTCTCACTTGTTATTGTTGTATTACTTTTTACATGATGTTAGATTCTGTTTGCTAATATTTAATTTAGTATGCTTTTATATTGTTATTCATAAATAATATTGATCTATAGTTTTCTTGTCTTTTTTGGCACTGTCATTGTTCAGGTTTTGGTATCAATGGTTAGTGTCAGACTTGCTTCACAAAAAAGAATTAGGAAGTTTTCATTTTCAGTGCTCTGCAATAGTTTGTGGATTCTTGGGACTATATGGTTGAAAGTTTGGTATGATCACCCTATGAAACTTGACTGGTACCTTTTTATGGGGTTATTTTCTTGATTACTGTCTCTATTTTATTTTTTCAGAAATTGCTCTGTTTAAGTTTTATATGTCTAATTTTGGTAATCTGTATTTCCCTAGGAAATTATCCATTTCGTCTAGGTTTTCAAATATATTTTTGTAGAGGTCTAAATTAGTCTCTTAGGAATTTTAAATATTTCTTCTGTTTTAGTGACCATTCCATCCTTGTCATTTCTTATTTTATAAATTTCTAGTTTCTCATATGTATTTTATTGATCAGGTTAACTAATGATTTGTTTATTTTGTAAACTAAAAAATATTCAGGATTTTGTTTTATTAGTTAGGGCTACTCTTTAAAAAATAATCTACCTCATTTATTTCCTCTTTCAATTTTTGTTTATTTATTTAGGTTTTTGGGGTTTTTTTTTAAGTGGCTGGCCATTATGGGGATCCAAAGCCATGACCTTGATGTTACCAGCACCATGGTCTCCCAAGTGAGCTAACCAGCCAGCCCCTTTAGTTTTATTATTTCCTTTTTTGTGCTTTCTTTGGTTTTACTTTGTTGTGCTTTTTCTGTTTTTTCTCCCTTGAAATGAGAATTTAATTCATTTACTTCTATATTTTATTGATAAATAAAATGCTATGTGTTTTTGGTTTAATTGTATGAATTTAGTGCTATGAATTTTCCTATGATCTCTGCTTTAAATGTAACCCATACATTCTGGTATGTAGGGGTTGTATTTTTAGGAATTATGTGGTTAGCTGTTTCACCAACAATTGTTCAGTAGGAGAGTTTTTAAAAATGTCCAGGTGGAAGTGCTTTTTGTCTTTTTATTTGGTTAATAATTTCTGGTTTTATCGCATTGCAATTTAAGTGTTTTTTGTAACATTTCTACTTTGTGGCATTTACTGATGTTTTGTTTGTGACCTAATAAATGATCAATACAAACTAGATGTATTTACTATTATAAAGATATAACATTTGAAATACAATCATATAAAGTCTACCTTATTGCTTATGTTCATTAGGTTCTTTTTTTTACGTATCCCTCCTCTCCACCCTCCGTACAGACACAAACACACTTCTTCTGTCTTTTAGCAAGAGTGGTTTGTTAAAGTCTACTATTGTTTCTTCCCTTGTTCCTTTCTTTCCTCTCACTTATGGGTGAGGACATGGAGTATTTCTCTTTGTGGCTTTTTTCACTTAATGTGATTTTCTCCAAGCTCATCCATGTTGCTGCAAATGGCAAAATTTCATTCTTTTTTATGGCTGAGTAGTATTCCATTGTGTATATAGGACCACATTTTCCTTATCCAGTTGGCTGTTGATGGACATTTAGGTTGGTTCCATATCTTAGCTATTGTAAATAGAGCTGTGATGAAACAGACCACAGTAAAATGTTGAACTTTCAGAAAGGGAGAACAGGTCTGTAGTTACTAGAGTTTAGGAAGGGGGAAGAGGAGGGGAGTTACGGAGTAACTGGTTAAGGGACACAAAAAATAATTATTTGTAATGATGAACTTGCTAATAACATTGATTTGATCACATACTGTACATAAATACTGATAGCTCTGTACCCCATAAAAGTATATAACTATGTTTCAATTAAAAAAATTAATTTAAAAAGTGTATGAATTCTTAAAAAATAGTCTTCTATTGCTAATGTGCTTCTCTCTGTGTGTTCTTGTAATCTCCTATAATGTTTGCTTCATGAAAGTAGTTGTTATTTCATGTGTAAATATTCATTATTGTGGGCCGGCCCGGTGGCGCACTGCTATAGTGTGCCGCTTGGGAAGTGCGGTGGCGCTCCCGCCGAGGGTTCGGATCCCACATACAGACCGGCCGCTCACTGGCTGAGCGAGGTGCGGGGGCAACGCCGAGGGTTGCGATCCCGTTGCCGGTCCCGGTCCGGTACGGGCACGACACTGAGGGTTGCGATCCGTTGCCGGCCACGAAAAAAGACAAAAAGGAAAAAAAAAATTCATTATTGTGATAGTGGTTTTGAGCATTAACAGTATCCTTCTCTGTCATGTTTATGCTTTTTGGCTTGAATTGTATTTTGTCTGAAATCAGAATACCTCTTGAGCTTTCTTCGTGTTTTCCTTTGCCTGGGAATTCTTTTGTCCATCTCTTTATTTTTAGCCTTTTGAAATCACTTTAATTTAGATAAGTTTTTTGAGTACTACATTGAATTGTAGTTGAGTTTTACTTTTGAACTAAACTGAAAATCTTTTTCTTTTAATAGAGGACTTAATTCTATTCATGCTGATTGATATGATTGATATGTTTGCTATTAATTCTCTTAAATTATTTTATAATTTGTGTATTATGTGTATTATGTGATGTTCGCTATGTTTCTTTTTTACCTGTTGGGTACGCTTTGCTGTTTCATTTTTAAATTTATATAAAGGTGTGTATTTTTGTTCTAGTAATTTGTACTTTTCATTATCTGTTTCATCAAGATTTTAACTCCTACCTATTGCCTCAACAACAATCATTGAGCTTACTTTACTTTTTGCTTCTCATTTCTCCTTCCATTTTTAAAGTGCATTATTTTCTACTTTGTTCCAATATATAACATTTGTATATTAATTTTCCTCCCTTGTCCTTACTTTTGTGGAGGGTGTGGATGGAAGAGTAATGCAATTTGCCTTTTTACTTATCAAATTTTTTCATTTTTTTGTGGAGGGTGTGGATGGAAGAGTAATGCAATTTGCCTTTTTACTTATCAAATTTTTTCACCATCAGTCTTATTGCTGAAGTATTCCTAGACATCTCTTAATTAGATGAAACTCATCCTCTACTAGATTCCTTGAAGAGGGCTTATGGTACAGAGTTTCCCAAGTTCTTATATATTTAAAACTATTTTTCTATAACCTTAAGTGTTTGAAGCATAGCTTGGCTGGATATAAAGTTCTTGATTTACACTTTTTTTAAATTGAGTTTTTTGAAAATATTCATCCTTTGTTTCTTTGCCTTTTATGTAGTTTTTGAGAAGACTGATGGAAGTCAGATTCTTTTTTTTCAAATTGAAACATAATTGATTGTACCTGTTTGTGGGGTACAAAATTGACTATCAGTACTTGTATGCAGTATGTGATGGTTAGATCAGGATAGGTAGCTTATTCATCATTACAATACGTAATCGTTCTTTGTGTCTATTAACCAATATCTCATTCCCCCCTTCCCCAGGAGTATAATTCTTTTGTCCTTGTAAGTTATTTGATCTTTTTGTATATAGGCCTTAAGATTTTTTTCCATATCTTTGAAGTTTAATAGTTTTACTAGGCGTATTAATTATCTACTATATAACAAATTGCTTAAAAATAGTGGCTTAGAAACAATAGTAAATATATATTATTTCAAAGTTTCTTCAAGTAATGAATTTGGGAGCACCTTTGCTTATGGTTCTGGTTTGGGGTCTCCTGGGTTTGTTAGCTAGGACCATAGTCATCTGTGACTCATGTGCATGCTGGCAAGTTGGTGCTTGATGCCTTGTTTTGTTACACATGTGGACCTCTCCAACTATTTAATGATGGGTGGCTTCCCCAGAGTGAGTGATCCATGAGACAGCAAATTGGAAGCTGCAATGTCTTTTATGATCTATTCTCTTTTTTTTTTTTTTCCAGTTTTTTTAGGTGAGAGGCTAAATTGGTCCCTGTTACTCCATATTGGTTGTAAGCAGAAGTCTCTCAGCCATTATGTCTTCCATAATTTTTATGCCCCATCCTCTCTTCTCCTCTTCATACTTCAATTACATATGTGTTCGAACTTTTACAGTCTAGAATCTGTTATGTTACCCTGAAGAGCACTGATATCAGTCAGTTTGGCTGAACTCAAACTCCAAACTTTGTCTTCCTGTGGTAGGCAGTAGATCAAATCTCTGTTCAATTGTTGACTTTTAACTGGTTACTTGGAGTTTGCCCACACTTGCATAGTTTAAAAGTCAGCCAGGTATTTGGGGCAGAATTTATATGAAGAATTTGGGGTTTTTCTTCTCCATCTGTCTCATTTCTAGACTTCTTCAATTCTAACTCCTGTAGTTTACCCTGAGCTCTGTTCTGAATTCTGTCAGTCAACGAACTCCAGGTTTTTATCCAAATTTTTAACCAATCTACATGGCCCTGACTAGGGCCTGCCTTCAGGTGAAAAATGTGAGAATTCACCCACTGCTAAGTCTCAGTACCCAGTTTCTACTTTCTTTTGGTCACTCTTTAGTTCTTTTATATATTTTGTGCAGAATTTATATTGTGTTGGAGGATTTGTTTTCATGAAAGTTATATGACCCTCACTTTTTTTTTTTTTTTAGGTTTTTGCTTAAAGAATTTGTCTTAGTGTGAGGCCTTTCCTATTTTGCTATTTAAAAACTGCAGAATCACCCACCCCTTTCTCGTGCTTCATTTTTATATACGACTCTTATCATCAGTTAACACAGATATGCATTTTAAATATTTATTTTCTGAATTTCTCGACTAGAATGTAAGTGCCATGACAACAGATATATTTTTCTCTTGTTCATTGCTATTTCTTCTGTTCCTAGAACAGCTCAGATTGAATGTTTAAAAATATTTGTTGTATGAATGAATGAATGAATGAATGAATGAATTTCATTAATTTCTTTCTTTTCCTATCTCCCTTATAGCGTCCGGAGGGCAGTGGATGAGGAAGAGGAAGCAGTTGAAGAACGTCGGAATATGCGAACTATTTGGGTGACTGGCAGAAAAGGTTTAACAGAAAGGGAAGCAGCAGCCATTATAGTGGAAGAAGCCAAAATGATTCTGCAGCAGGACTTAGTTGAAATGGGAGTGCAATGGGATCCATATTCCTTTTTAAATTCTGGTACACATTCATTGACCAGCAGTGAGTCAGAAGTAAAGGAACATACATTTATACCCCAAACTAAGAGTTCTTATAAAAGAATAACATCAAAAAACAAAAGTAACACAATATTTAATGATTCTTATGTTAAGCACTCACCAAATATAGTGAAAGATTTAGATAAAAGTAGAGAGCATACAAATTCCTTTTATTATAAGTTCCAGAATGGGAATCAAGAACATCAGAAACATTCAGTTTTCAGAGGAAGAAAACGGGCTTCTTTGGACATAAATACAGGGAAGCCAGGAACCCCTCTGAATGAGAGAAAAACAAGTACTAAGAAAGTTGTTCGGACATTCTCATTTGAAAAAACAAAAAAAGCAGCTTTGAATTTCAGTTCAGAAAAGATGAACACAACTTTTCAATCTTGGAAACAGAGAAAGTGTCTAAAACAATCCAGGGACAGTAGCCCTCTGAAAGACTCTGGGATGTATGGAATTGATTTACAGGGACAGACTATGTCTAGTCCTATTCTTTGTGAAGACCCAATTTCCTTAGATGAGAAGAATATGGAATTTAGAAGTCCAGAGCCATTTGCTAAAAACGGATCTTTTTGTGCTGAGGGAAAAAACAAAACATCATTCCCGTTACAAATAGAACAAAGCTGTTCAAGGAACAGAACAATAACTAATGATATTCTTGTGGAACATTTTTACACAGGATCCCAGAGTAAAAATGTGACTTGTCAAGCCACTAGTGTGGTTAGTGAAAATGGAAGGGGATTAGCTGTTGTTGAAACAGAAAAAATAAATGAAGTGCTAAAACAAAATGATTCAAAAAACCAGAATGTTTATGTGGAACACCATGACATCCATCCAATGAACCAGTGCCTGGAAATTCAGTCTAATAAACAGACAACCACTTACACCAAACGAAAAAAAAAAATGGAGAGACAAATGCCCTGTGAGGCGGTCAGTAGATATATGAATGGAGAATCAAATGTTACTACTATCACATGTGAAAGTATAAAGTTTAATGCTGAGGAAAATAAACCAAATCATTTTCAGGCATTAGGAGATAATGTACACAGAACTGAAACGCCCAGTGGAATACTTCTATCAACTGGAACATTTGGTAAATTGGGAGGCCAGCATGAGAATTTTCTAAAAACCTCTAGAATACAAGAAATAAACAAAACTAAAAATCCTGTTTCTAACTTAGGTTTAGCCCTCTGTGATTTTGAAGATAGTTTCTACCTGGATACTCAATCAGAGAAAATAATACAACAGATGGCAACTGAAAATGCCAAAAAAGGAGCAAAGGACGTCAACCTGGCATCAGGGATAATGCGGAAGAACTTAGACAAACAGAACTTGATGAGCTCTTTTCAGAATGAGATTCACATTACTGTTCCTGGTAAACAGCATTCTGCAGGAGTGACTCATATAGGTCATTTGGACCTTAAGACTATGGATCCTATGAAACAAAACACTGATTCACTTGGGATTGATATCCTGACTCCAGAAAGCCCAGTGTTTTATTCTCCAATACTATTGGAGGAAAATGGCCCTTATTTTAAGGGGAATGAACTTTCTGTTACTGACTCCCAGTTAAATAGTTTTCTTCAAGGCTATCAAACACAAGAAACTATGAAATCAGTCGTACCTCTGGTTCCTCAAAAGAGAACTCCCACTGGTATAGAAGGAGAGTGTCTGCCAGTTCCTGAAACAAGTTTAAATATGAGTAATAGTTTACTGTTCGACAGTTTCAATGAAGACTGCCTAGTAAAAGAACAAACACCTGATGTACAAGTGAAAGACCCCCTTACTTCTGAAATAACATCAAATCATTTCAGTGATTCTTTGTGTCTACAAGAAGAGGGCCCAATTGAAAAATCAAATATAAATGAGAATCAAGATATTCAGCAGCAGTTGACTTGTTTCAATGATGAATCTACTGTATTTTCAGAAATGGGTTCTTTTCAGATGGTTGAAGCTTTGGATAATGTAGATATATTTCCTGTTCAAGAAAAGCATAATACCGTATCTCTTAAGGCATTAGAACTAAATGATCTAGTGATTGTAGGTAATGATCACTGCCAAGGAGAAGCAGTTGGAGGAGATCAAGATGAAAGAGCACAAAAATCCAAATTAACTGGGTCAAGGCAAAGTAATTCATTCATATGGTCAGGGGCATCATTTGATTTAAGTCCAGGACTGCAAAGGATTTTAGATAAAGTGTCAAGTCCTCTAGAAAATGAAAAGCTAAGATTAACTATAAACTTGTCTAGTTTGAAAGGAAAAAATACAAAGTTAAATGAGAGACAAGAAGTAATTTCAAATTTGGAGACAAATCAAGTGTGGGGAATTTCATTTTCCCCTAATGAAGTAGAAAGCAAGAAAGAGGCATTAGATAACAATACCAATCATGGTGAAACCTCATGCCTCTCGCCTTGTAAAGAAAGCTGCATAATTGATGATAATGGTCTCATTCCTCCTACACCCATTCCAGCATCTGCTTCTAAGCTGGCATTTCCAGAGATTCTTGGAACATCTATAAAATTTTGGAAAACCGGTAGTGTTTCACAACCTGGCAAAAGTTATTATGGCTCTCCTTCAGTTATTAAAATCCATGATATAAGTCCAGAGAGTAGAAATGGTTTCAAAGGTGACAGTCCTGTCAGAGATACAAGTTTTTCACTGCAGTTGTCACAGGATGGATTGCAGTTAACTCCAGCCTCATGCAGTTCAGAAAATATGGCCATAATTGATGTAGCAAGTGACCAAACTCTCTTTCAAACATTCATTAAGGAGTGGCAGTGCAAGAAGCGATTTTCCATTTCACTGGCTTGTGAAAAGATTAGAAGTTTGACATCTTCTAAAACTGCTACTATTGGTGGTAGGTTTAAACAAGGTAAGGATTTTTTTTTAATTTTAATTTTTTCACATTCATCTATAAACTAGTTATTGGACTAAGATGAGATTTAGATTTTTTTTTTGTCTTTTGTCTTTTTCCGTGTCCGGCAACGGATCGCAACCCTCAGTGTTGCCCCCGTACCGGACCGGGGACCGGCAACGGGATCGCAACCCTCGGTGTTGCTCCCGCGCCTCGCTCAGCCAGTGAGCGGGAACCGGTCTGTATGTGGGATCCGAACCCTCGGGCGGGAGCGCTGCCGCGCTTCCCAATCGGCGCACTATCCAGTGCGCCACCGGGCCGGCCCTGAGATTTAGATTTTTTGATATTGGATATTAAATGTAATCTGTTCAAAATTTATTAAGTATCTCCTGTGTGGATTTACATGTAAAACAGCCTTATTTATTCAGCACAGCTAGATTAATAATAGTTGCCCTCTAATATAAGAGGTGCATGCAATATATACTGTATTAGTTGGAATATAAGTTTATAAAAATTAAGGTAATATTTTGAATATGGATCAGACATTTATGGTATTTTAATGGGAAAATAGTTTTTATTAATCATCAGTGCTCATGAATTATTTCCTATTAAATTGTAATATCCTTGTTTGCTTATATAATCACAAAAGTACTTAGCAAGTAGGCACTATATTTTTCACAGTGTGCATGAGCTACATTCTCCAAGACTTATCGCAAGTAGAACTTAGACTTCCAGTGATAGTCATGAATTCTATACTGAAATGTTGATTCCAAAGCAGGGCTCTTCCAGGTTTTAAGAGAGTTGAACCTTTTGGTCAAATAATGCCATGTATATTCCTGTCTTACTGCACGAACCCTGGGTTCTGGATCATGGGGAATAGCTGTAGTCAGCTTGAAAACCTGTTGTGAAAATCAGAGGTGTGGTTAGATTTTTTTAATTTTTTATTTGTTTTTTATTTTATTTATTTATTTTTTAAAAAGATGACTGGTAAGGGGATCTTAACCCTTGACTTGGTGTTGTCAGCAACACCCTCTTGAAGTGAGCTAACTGGCCATCCCTATAATAGTGATCTGAACCCATGGCCTTGGTGTTATCAGCACCACACTCTACCAAGAGAGCCATGGGCCGGCCCTTAGATTTTTTTTTTTTTTTTTAAATCTCTGTGTTTATGAATGAATTATTTCATAAAGGTTTGAGTATTTGTGTGATTTTCAATTTATGGCACAGATGTGTTAATGATAAGTTTTATGTACTTTTAGTGTTGAATAACACTTCATTTTTCATTCAACAAACATAAAATTCAGCACATTTTCTGTATCAAACTCTATGCTAGAAGATAGAAGGATAAAAATGTTCACTTAAATTTAATAAATATATATTGAGTTCCTGTGTTCCAGTTATTTTCCAGGCATTGGGGATATAACTGTAAGTAAAACAGATTGGTTCTTGATCTTTGTAAAATTGTAGGTTCATTGTTTTAGAAAGAAAGTTGAGTCCAGGTATAAAAATCATACTTAATTCTTCCCTAAGGAATAAGAGTCTTGATTTTTCTGGAGTGTCTTAAGAATTGCTGAATTCACTACAAAGTTTTTGTAGTGTGTAAGTGGTCTTTATTTATAGAGTTATAGAAATTCAAAATGCAGTTTTTCTTATTTAATTAATACCCATTTTAGTCATTATTATAGGTCTATTTTAAGAAATCTTTGGTATATTTTTCATAATGATAATTACTTAATTGATAGGTAGCCTAGAAAAGTCTTATATACACCTAAAAATGATGTATATAATGATTCAAATGTGTATTTTAGGACTAGGGAATTTTTCATATCAGTTATAGTTTTTTTCTTATCATTTTTTTAACAATTTGTTTAATGGCTTTATTTTTAGAAATTTTTAACTATTTCACTCTTGATTCATGTAGTTAGCTCACCTCAAGAAACCCCTATTAGAGATGATGGATTTCCTGTTCGAGGCTGTGATGACATCTTGGTGGTTGGACTGGCAGTATGCTGGGGTGGAAGGGATGCCTATTACCTTTCATTGCAGAAGGAGCAAAAGCATTCTGGTAAGTAATCAGTATTTGGCTAAGTAACCATATAATTAATGTAATACCTATTAGGGTAGTGATCTGTTTTGTTGAGAATAATTTCCTGATATTTACTAGGATTTATTTTTAGATTTAAAGACTTTATTATTATTATTATTATTATTTTGGAGAGCAGCTAGTGTATACATTACTACATATATTAACTAGAATAAATGTTTTAAGAAGCACCTCTTATTCCTCCTGTCATATGAGGCTATGAATTCTATGTTTTCTTCTCTGAAGGAGCCAGTGGAGTCTCAAGGACTCCTTTGCCACCTTCGGGGTTTGCTTTTGAAGACTGGACCGTGGCAATTTCTTTCCAGTCTTTTTTCTTCCCATTGACTAGATCTGGAACTCATCTAGAAGCAATGTTGAGCTAGAGATTATAGTAGCTGAATCACACAGACTTTGGAGAAGTCTTTGGAATTGAAAGGATGTGATCTGTAAATACCTTGTGGTCTGATTATGGTTGTTGGATACCAGCTGATTGGTTGGTTCTGGACTGGAGCAGAATTAATAAGGAAACATTTTGAAAGATGCCATATAGTGTCTGTTCCTTAATAAACATGAAGTATTTTCAGTTGTTTTATAAGATAATATGTTGGGTGAACTACTACTTCTTTTATTTTGTTTATTTATTTGTTTTGGGGCAGCTGGCAGATACAGGGATTGAACCCCGGACCTTGATGTTATCAGTACCACGTTCTTACCAGCTGAGCTAACTGGCCAGCCATTCTTCTTTTATTTTTGATATAACATTATATGTTCATACTAAATGTCTCTTTAAAATTTATTTCAGAGTACATTTCTTATCTTTAACTTCCCATTCTGATGTTATTTTATTTTTAGAAGTCTTGTTATTTAGAATTTTCTTCCACCTAATTAAATGGAGCATAAGTCTTTATAAATCTTTTAGCCCAAATCAGAATTTTTTTTTTTTTTTCCTTTTTGTCTTTTTTTCATGTCCGGCAATGGATCGCAACCCTCAGTGTCGCACCTGCACCTCACTCAGCCAGTGAGCGGGAACTGGTCTGTATGCGGGATCCGAACCCTCGGCGGGAGCGCCACCACGCTCTCAAGCGGCGCACTGTAGCAGTGCGCCACTGGGCCGGCCCCCAAATCAGAATTTTTAGTTTATGAAACACTTTATCTACATAGCCAGTATGACCTGGATAAGGTCATGCTGGCTTAGTGGTGGTCACAGGGAACCACACCCTTAGGCTTCTGAGTCTTTTTCAGTCTTTCTACCAAGATTTCTGCTTCAAGTGAATGCATGTAATTTTTGCCTTAAGACTTTTTTGTTTTCTGGTTTTTTTTTAAAAAGAAATTAGTGCCAGTTTGGTCCCACCTTCTTTGGATCCAAGCTTGACTGTGGAAGACAGGATGTGGCACCTTCAATCCTGCTTGCAAGAGAAATCTGATAAAGAATGTTCTGTTATCATCTATGACTTCATCCAGAGCTATAAAATTCTTCTTCTGTCTTGTGGCATCTCCCTGGAGCAAAGTTATGAAGATCCTAAGGTTCTATGTCTTATTTAATTTTTATATACTTAAAAATATTTTTAGCGTTTTGGGTTAATTCTTAAATGATATGGTATTTATGTAGTTTCAATAATACAGCTTAAGTCTTTTAGAGCAGTCACTTTTTAATCCAGTAATCTCATCTACCCAGAATAGAATATCATGCGCCAAATGCCTTTTTGTAGATAAAAACAGAGGTGTCACAAATTTCAAGCCCTGAAGTTCATGTCTTCCTCAGAGATTTTTTAAAAATTTTAATTTTGATCATCAGTTCTAAGTTTTCTGTCCCATAGAAAATTAGAAGTGAAATGAGAATGTTCGATTTAGATATATGATAGCAGGATGTTCCAAATATTTGTGAGGGTGGATGCAGAAAATAGGAAAAGTGCATGAATATAAGATGTCCAAAAGGATTGAAGTTAGGGGCCATTTAGCATAGGGGCAAATAACCTTATTAGTTTCTGAGAACTTTCCTATATAATAGCAAAGTATGATACCCTCTTCATAATAACTCTGAGTTATCAAAGAAAGGATAATTTGTTACTGTAATATACATTTAACAGTATAATGCATTTTCAGAAGACATTTATTTATATGATAGCCTTCAAAGAGATACAATTTTTTTCCACCTGTTAATACTAGATACATGAGGTGTGCGGAGTATTAATTTAAGCTGAGGAATGATACTATTTGTTAGTTATTATCAATATAGTCTATAATAATATCATGATTTCTAGTTTCTTAGTTTCTTTAGCTTTTATTTTGCAAGGATTTTCAAAGGCAGGCTTAGATAAACTAAAGACACTTTTTTTTTTTCCCCCAAACTGTCCTTTTTAATACTTAAAGCCAGGCTTGGTTTACGTGTGATACATTACATGTCATTTCTAAACTGACCTTTATTGGATATAAAATATTGTCATTTAATTTTGGTGTTCTGGAGTCTAAAACAATATGGGTAATATGAACCTCTCATTAAAACTATAGTAGAATCTCAGATTTATATAGTACCTTTTACTTAAACTACTTGAAATATTTCAAAATTGGTTTTTTAAATCATAACAGTTTCGGTGCAAGAAGATAAGCTATTAATTTATAAAATCTCACTTTTATAAGAAACAAATTTTCAACTTTACATCAGACTATCACATTCAATACTCCCCTATAAAACTTTATTCTTAACCTTCAAAAGAAGTGACTGAGTCGTATAGTAATTGTCAGAATTATGAATGGGGCTTAGATTTCCATATTCTAAATCCAGTTCATTATCTGATAAATCTAGTGTTAAAAACTACAGGCCTCCTACTCTCATGGGAAGGCTAAAAATAGCAATCAAAGGACTAAGTGGGTGGTCCTGATGACAGACCCCCCCAAGGCCTGAGGGGAAAGTCTAGAGGCTTTCTGAAACTTTGGATGCAAACATTTAATGGTAAAACATTTGTGCCTTTTTTTTGATGCTGAAAGAACTAAGTAAACCTAAAGCCATATATTTATTATAGTAGCTTAGCTAAAATCAGCCTTAGTGGTGAAGAGTCCATCTTCATTTTCAGACTTATGGTTTCAGTTAGTTGAAAGGCACTTGATTTTCAAGCCTACTTCAGAACTGGGTTAGCCAGGGGCATTGCTGTAATGGAAAAATTACAGCTTTTCTTTCTTTGGAGGCCACCATTCTTATTGGTATTAAAAATAAGTCCTGTTACAATGATCTTTTCCTTCTCCATTCCTGGGAAGACCGCTGAATAAAGTGTTTAGTGAAAATGAGTAAGATTAGAAATGAGCTTGCCTTTTCCCCCTTTTAATTTAAGGATACTAAAATGTCTGAAAAAAATAAAAATATTCTAGTTGCTGTCCCATTCAGGTGGCTTGCTGGTTACTAGATCCAGATTCTAAGGAGCCGACTCTTCATAGCATAGTTGCCAGTTTTCTTCCTCATGAGCTTCCGCTCCTAGAAGGGATGGAGACTGGCCAAGGAATCCAAAGCCTGGGGCTGAATGTCAGCACTGAGCATTCTGGGCGATACAGAGCATCTGTAGAGTCCATTCTCACCTTCAACTCTATGAATCAACTCAACTCTTTGTTGCAGAAGGAAAACCTTCAAGGTAAAAACAAAGTTCCTGGTATTTTTATGTTACAGACTGGGGATATATGTATTTAGCTACTCTTTATCACAGCTGGGTAAATTACACGTTTTATCCAAATCTTACCTTTGGATTGTCTATGCATGGGTCAACTTTATTTTATAAAGACCAGATAGTAAATGTTTTCGCTTTGCACACCAGATGGTCTCTATCACAGACACTCAACTCTGTTATGGTAGCATGAGAGCAGCCATAGACAGTACCAAAACAAATGGGTGTGGCTGTCTTCCAATACCACTTTTTTACGAAAACATGCATCTGGTGCTGGTTGGGCCATAGTTTGCTGACCTCTGGCCCTACTGTAGTGAAGAGAATTAGTGGCATTTCATTCAATTGTTGCTCATTTTATATTTGAACTTTATCAAATGATTTTTATGTACACTGAAAAGACATCTTTCATGTATTTAAAAAAGTGAACTGTTTTCTTTTTAGAACTATTAACAGAAAAGTTATCTTTTTCCCTCATGAAAAATAACACAAATTTATTGTGCAGTCTGCTGGCCCTGATTGAATACCTTGACTACAGAGAGCATAACTTGCTTATGGTAGAGATGGTGAAGTGGAACAAAGTTGGCTTCGTTGTGAGATTACACCATGAATTTATAGACTGATCAGTAGATACTAGAAACAACTGACTGAGTTCACACAGACCACGGTTTGGATCTGGGCTGTCTCACTAATTAGCTGAGGAACTGTGGGCAAGCGACTGAAACTGTATAATGTGGTTCTTATAAGGTTGTTATAAGGATTAAATGAGACAGTGGTCTTTGCCACAGAATAGAATAGTGATGGTGATTATTACTGCCAGTAGAAGCCTTCTCCGCTGGTAGAATGTTCTCTTCATCATAACTGGATATAATAGCAGAGACAAAGACCAGACTAACTTGTATGTTCAGAGGAGACTTTCTTGCTTAAGTGATGTTGATTAGCAGCTTATGTACAAGCACTGTAGTATTTCAAACTCAGCTTCTCTAAGCCAGTGAAAGCAGAACAAGGAGTTGGGAGTATGTGGCACACATGCTAAAGGACTGCTCCTACTTTCATGGACAATAATGCTGGATGAACACAGCCTTCTTTCCCTCTGCCTACTCTGCTCTAGGGTGGGTGTCCTGGATAGTCTGTTTGTGTAGTTTACAGACTCCGACTTTTGACGATGCTGGTATGAATTGTTCTGTAACTTGTTATAGACATTTATTACCCGTTATCAGAATTATAAACTTTCAGTCTGTTTGGGAGAGGCCTGTTCATACTTAAAGACAGTTTTTTACCTATAAAAAAGGAGGACTATTGTTTTTCTTTCCAGAAAGGTACAAAAAACCTCTAAAGTTATTAGTTTTAATTTTCACTATTTTACTGTGCTTTGAAAGCTCCTTTCTGCAGACTTTAAAAAATCGGTGACTCAAAGGTGTTTAAATGCATTTTCATACAATGTCAAGGCTTTCTTTTTCATAAAATCCATAGAATTGAAGTGTATTGAGAAAAGGGAAGGTTTTGGAGAGAATGTGGATAGCTACCAAATTTTGTTTGGAAATAATTATTTCAGGATTTGCTGTTTATTTTAATGGACCTCCAGAATCTTCATCTTTTTCTCTTCTCATCCTCTTGCCTCTTGGGTAGTTATGTTCTGGCAGTGGACTTTCTCCCACTTTCTTCCCACATAAAAAAGCTACTTTTTATTTGGGTATGAATAAATGTTAATAAGAGAATGTGTCTTTGCTTAATGTGACCCAGCACAAAGTATTCTTTTTCTCCTTCCATAGATCATTAGGTCCTTTCTAGGTGGTTGGAACATGTATGAGATGATTTTCTAAGTTGTAGTGAATTGGTTTCTCTCCTTTTACCTCAGCTGCACAGATTTGTATTAATCATATTATTTCTTTCATGTATATTATCATCATTGGAGTATGTGTGGTCCTCTTATTTATTCATTATTATTTTCAAAATATAATGAATACCTGTGAATCCTCATTATCAATAAGTTGTACCTATGTGTGTACTCCGCTTTTGTACACATCCCAAGTTTTATCATTCTCCTATTTTTTTAAATTAAAATATTTTTATTTTGTAATTTAAAAAATTTTAGCATAAATATATGAATCTATCCATATAGTGTATTATTTATTTTTGCTTATTTTTGAACTTTATAAAACATCTCACACTGGGACTTGCTTTTCTTGCTCAGCATTATGTTAATAAGATTCATGTATAAGTAGTTTATAGTTTATTCCTTTTCAAGTGTCTGTAGTTTATTCCTTTTTACTGCTGTGTAGTATATCACTGTATGATTGTGTCAAAATATGTCCATTTTCCTATTGACAAACATTTGGGTTGTTTTTAGTTTTGTTTTTTTGTTTTTTGTTTCGCTTTGCTATAGTAAGTAGTTTCATATGAATATTCTTACACTTAAACATGTCTCCTGGTATGTGTGGGCAAGAGGTTCTTTTGGATGTGGAATTACTCTCTCGTGGGAATAGGAATATTCAACATTTCAAGATTATGCTAAATTGAATTCTACAATGGTTGTGTAAGATGTGTTAGTAATCTTGCTGATTCATATTGTGTCAACTTTGCAGTTCATTGGTTGAAAATTATTGTAATACTCATTTCTTGTGCTGTCATTGTTTTTGGTTATTTTAGTTTCATGAAATGAGTTGTGACTATAACTTCTTTTTTATTCTGGAGGAGTGAATGATGTGTTCCTTGACAGTTTGGTAGAATTTGTCTATAAACTATTCTTTGTGAAAAGATGTTTAACTGCAACTTTAGTTTCTTTAGTAACTGCGGGATTATTCAATTATTTCTTCTTCTTTTTTTTTTTTTTTTCCCTTTTTGTCTTTTTTACTGACCGGTAACGGAATCGCGACCCTCGGTGTTGTGCCCGTACCAGGGACCGGCAACGGGATCGCAACCCTCGGTGTCGTGCCCGTACCGGGGACCGGCAACGGGATCGCAACCCTTGGTGTTGCGCCCGCACCGCGCTCAGCCAGTGAGCGGGAACCAGTCTCCACATGGGATCCGAACCCTCGGCGGGAGCGCCGCCGCTCTCCCAAGCGGCGCACTCTCCAGTGCGCCACCGGGCCGGCCCCAATTATTTCTTTTTGATTATGTTTTGATAAGCTATATATTTTAAAGAATTGGATTTATGTAAATTTTCAATTTTATTAGCATAAATCTATTGCTGATTCTCTCTTTTTTATACCTCTGGTTTATCTGTGTCCCCTTTTTCTTTCATATTTTAAATTTAATCTCACTAGAAGTTTTTCCAATTTTTTAGTCTTTTCAAAGTACCAAATTTTGCCTTTGATTATTCTTATTGTTTTTTCTACTTCTTTGATTTCTGTCAACATCTATTTTTCTTCTAGCTCCCCTGACTTTATTTTATAGTTCTTTTTCTGAATTCATAAGTTTGACACTAAACTCACTACTTTTCAAATCATTTCTTTTTTCTTGTATTTAAGGCTATACATTTTTTTCAAAGCATTACTTTCATTGTATCCTACAAGTTTTGATGTGTAATGTTTTCCTCATTTTATTCTAAATATTTTTAGGTTTATTTTATGACTTTTTTTGACTCGTGAATTATTTAGAAGCTTGGTAATTCCCAAATATTCGGAAACATTTCATTTTGTGTTTTTATTATTACCTTCAAACTTAATTGTGTTGTGGTTAGAGTATATGATTGTTGATAGAGTTGGATGTATTGTTCTGCCAAAACTCATGGAAATCTGATCCCCGATGTGGCAGTGTTGGAAGCTGTTTGAGTCATGGGGGCAGATCCCTCATGAAGGGATTAGTGCTGTCCCTAGGGGAGGGGGACCTGAGAGAGATCTCCCTCTATTAGTTCCTGTGAGAACTCATTATTTCAAAGACCCTGGCAACTCCTCTCTCTCTCTCTCTCTCTGTCTCTCTCTCTCTCTCTCTCTCTTGCTTCTTGCCATGTGATCTGCTTGTACCTGCTTATTGCTGTTTTCTGCTATGAGTAGAAGCAGCCTGAGGCCCATGCCAGAAGCAGCTGTCCCAAAATTGTAAGCCAAATAAACCTCTATTCTTTATAAATTACCCAGTCTCAGGTATTCTGTTATAGCAACACAAAACAGACTAATAAAATTGTGCAATACCCATTCTTTGAAATTTTTTTTTTTTTTTTAAAGATGACCAGTAAGGGGATCTTAACCCTTGACTTGGTGTTGTCAGCACCACGCGCACCCAGTGAGCTAACCGGCCATCCTATATGGGATCCGAACTCGTGGCCTTGGTGTTATCAGCACCACACTCTCCCGAGTGAGCCACGGGCCGGCCCTCTTTGAAATTTTTTGAAAATTGCTTTGTAACATAAAACTTGAACTCTTGTGTAAATGTATGTGTACATAATAGAATGTGTACTCTAATTTTGAATGCAGAATTTTATATATGTCTGTTAATGCAAGATTGTTTAAATCTCCTATACCTAATTTTACCTGTAGTTTAGTCAATTTTAACTTTCTATGTTTTGAGACCATTTTAATAGGTACATACATGTTTAAAATTGATTTCCCAGTGAATTAAATCTTCTATCATGTTGTTATCATGTCTATCATTAATAATGATTTTTATTCTTAGTCTGTTTTTTGACATGAATATGGCAACATCAGCTGTCTTTTTTTTTTTTTTTTAAAGATGACCAGTAAGGGGATCTTAACTCTTGACCTGGTGTTATCAGCACCACACCCCCGAGTGAACCATGGGCTGACCCATCAGGTGTCTTTTGATTAATATTTGCCTCATATATCTTTTTTTTTTTTTATCGCTTTCTAGGTCCTTATCTTTAGATGTGTCTTATAAACAAAGCATAACTTATTTATTTTTAAAGCATACCAATTTTTTTTTAACAAATTTACCAATCGTGATTATTGCTCTATTTCTGTTAATTGAGATTATTGATGTATTATACTCTGTTTTCCTACTGTTTTACTTTGTTTCTGTTCACTCCTTTCGTTTAGTAAATAGTTCATTCATAGCTGTGCTCTATTCTAATCTAATGAGTCCTTACCTGCAATTCTTGGGGATCTACATCTGTTGTTGGTTGTTTCTTCTGAGTCCCATCCATACTCTTTTGCTATCTTGTATTTTTCATATTCCTTGTGACTTCATACTTGATGTAATCCTTGGAGGCCTGCTGGACTAACCTGGGGGAAGCCTTCCTCTTGAAAGGTTTTGCTTCTGCCTCTGCTGGTTACCAAAATACACTGCATCCAACAACTACATTAGCCTTTCTTGAAAGTTTTATTTCAGAACAGGAGTCTGTGACTCAGTTTCTCCTTCCATTGCTGTTTCAAGGATCTATATCCCCTCAGCCTTTTTGCTATAGGATTTCATTTCCACAACAACTCTGTTCCTTCCTGCTGCCTATGGATCCAGGCTGGCTCCATGTCACTCTTACTTTGCGCTTCTCTTACTGTTCCTGTTCTGACCCAGTTCTTTATTTCTCTGATCCCACATCAGTGAATTTCTGCTCTGGCTCCTAAAGGCCCCTAAAGCCAGGCTCTGACTGCCCAGTACCTGCTCCTAGCTATTACAGGCCAGTAGTTCTCATTTGTTTGTTTACTCTTGGTGGTGATTATGGGGGTCCCTGGAGATCTCTGCTGCTGATTGAGACCAGCAGTGCTTCAAAGAATGTGTGGAGCTGGGGAGGGGAGGTGGGATTGCTCAGAGTCCTAGTGACTCATAGTACTGAAGGGTTTGGTAGGAATTTTTTTCATAATGATGTAGGATAGCATTTTTCACAGTGCATTGTATGGATGCTTACTTTGTAGGATGTTAGTAAATATTATATGAAATAAAGGGTTTTATGGTCAAATAATCTAGGGAGTTTTAGTTAAAATAAAATTAAATAGTTGTCTTTGCTTCAGGTCTTCTCAAAGCCTTTAGTATATAGCAGTTATCATGAATATTCAAGAACAGTATATGGATGTAGAAACTCACAGCATGCATTATCTCTCAACCCCACCCTTTTTGTAGAGCATCTTTGGGACTAATAGTGTAATTGAAATATGGGAGAACTTATTTAGAATGACTGCTCTGTTGAGAAGTGTCAGCAGATAGTAATTCTTACTTCTGGTATCTTATTTCTTTACTGTTTGGTAAGAGCATTGGAAAATATAAAACCCTCTATATTTAGTTCTTTGTGTAAGCATACACACTATGGGACCAGGAATATTGAAAATAATTTTATGGAATCAACCCTTTGTAGTCAGCTCAATAAATAAGGTTGGCTACCTCACTCCTGCTAACAGTAGAAGCAGAAACATTATCTTGGGAGAAATGTAGTCTCTTGTAATCCAGACTATTCACAGGATTGCTAACTCTTCTATTCTCTGTATAGACAAGGATAGTAGTCTAGTACCTAAGTGGCCTGTACTTTTCTACCTTTTATTGTTCGGTTTAAAAACACTGCTCAGAAGACTGGATCATGAAGGATAGGATAGCTTGGGTAGCATTTCTGGATTTTTTAGACAAATTCTGTACAGTTTGTTATGCTGCTGTTATAGTTGCTTAGTTGATAAATTAATATTTTAGTTTTGTTTTTTTTCTTCCAGATGTTTTCTGTAAAGTGGAAATGCCCTCTCAGTACTGCTTGGCCTTGTTAGAACTAAATGGAATTGGTTTTAGTACTGCAGAATGTGAAAGTCAGAAACACATAATGCAAGCCAAGCTGGATGCAATTGAGACTCAGGCCTATCAACTAGCCGGCCACAGTTTTTCCTTCACCAGTTCAGATGACATCGCTGAGGTTGTATCATGGGAATAGGGACTTTAGAAAAGTAATTTTTAGAGTTAAAATGATTTGTGTGTTGTATGTGTTTCCTAAGTGTGTTTACCTAAACACCAAAGATCAATAAAATAATCAGTTAACTGGAATGCTTTGGGGATAGAAAATTCTAGCATCTAATTTATAAGTTATGTCTATTTTTATGAAATAAAAAGGTAGTAAAGAAGCCTCCTGGAAGGTAAACTCCATGAGAAGGAAAATTGCCTAGAACCAAGGAGGTCCCCACTCAGTATTTGTTGAACAAACAATTGGTAGTAGTAGTTGCATGACAGTGTAGCTGTTTCTCCATAAGGTTATTTAGTGAACCCTCATCCTTCCTTGCCCTACCATCTTTCTTTAGAATAGGAAATTGAATGTTTTTGTGAGATGTAAATGAAAAAGAGATTTTTGTGACTGTTTGCTTTAACCTAAGATTTTTGTTACCTTACATAAATTTTGACAAAGTTTACTCTTGTTTTATTTGTATAGATTGGTGTTCTGTTCTCTCCTCTCACCATACTCCTTCCCTATAATGGGTGGTTGGATTGTTTTTGAGGGGTTACAAATAGGATGGGTGCCTACACTTGATAGCATTGAAGTTCCTGTGTCTTCTAGATGTGATTCAGTAATATAGCAGATTTGTAAAGATCATAAGCTATAGAGTCAGACTTCTTGGGTTTGAATCCTACCTCCTCCATTTATTAACTAGTTCCATGACCTTGGGCCAATACATCAACTCTTTATGTCTTAATTTCTTCATCAGTAAAATGGGGTTATGATAGAAATACCTCATAGGGTTATTGGGAACCATAAATGATAAATGTAAAACACTTAGAATATCGAGCATGTAGTAAGTGCTCAATAATATAAGAATATATAAAAATGCCCCCTTTTAAGCCAAAGAGTTACGTATTTTAATGAAAATGAGAAACTTTGTTTTTCTTAATCATGTGGTATATTTATATTGAATTCAATGGTGCCTTTTTCTTATTTTCTTTTGAATTCTTTATCCCAGAATTTCCCAAGCCAATACCTAGCTGACTGCACATAAAATTACACAAGGAACATGTCAGAAGTTTAGAATCTCTGGGTTTCAACACAAGTAGGGTTGAGGCAAAGGGAGGAATTGGTGCCCTTGTGATTCAGATAGGTACTAATATGAAACATAGGGCTAGACCAAATTCCAGGCTAGAATAAAAGGCTTTTCATGTTATTGGCTTGTTTTTAGGTCTTCATGTTGAAATGGATGTTACCTGGAGAGGTAATTTTTATATGAAGTTTTCACTGTTAATTCTCAAGTCTTTACCAAAAAAAGAAGCTTAAGATAAAGAACTACTGAGTATATAACTCACGATCTTTGTGTTGTCTTAATCATGATAGGTCTTCCTTCCTGGGATTGTTGCTTTTTTGTTACCTTAGTAATGTTTCATTTTTTTTTTTTATTCAGTTATTTGATTTTTTTCCTCCTATTCTGCCATTCATATGCTCTTTTTCTTTTTTTTTTGTGACTGGTAAGGGGATCGCAACCTTTGGCATGGTGTCGTCCACACCACACTCAGCCAGTGAGCGCACCGGCCATCCCTATATAGGATCCAAACCCGCGGCCTTGGTGCTACCAGCGCCGCACTCTCCCGAGTGAGCCACGGGGCCGGCCCCATATACTCTTTAATATCTATACTAGGGTTGCCTGATAAAATATAGGACATCCGGTTTTAAATTTGAATTTCAAATAAACAGTGGATAATATTTTAGTATAAGTATGCCCCATGCGATTCCAGTTTAACTGGGTGTCCTGTAACTGTATTTGCTAAATGTAGCAACCCTAATTCCTACTCATGCACGCGTTCATATTGATAATTCTTGGACTAAATAGGTACTAATGTTCATAGCAAGCCTCAGTACGTTTCATTTCCAAGATCCCAGTTATTCCCACTACATGAAACTGGAACCAGATTGTTGTTTCTGTCATCACTACTGTTCTAGGGAAGCACAGGAATGTCTTTCCCTCCACACCTGTCCCAATTTGTGGAAAATATTCTTGTACTTAGGCAAATAGTTTCAATTTTTCGACTTATTACTAGGAAAATAATCCAAGTTTCCTGAAAACCTACTCAAGGTATATAAGTGAATGAGTAGGTACACTAGATAATGTTCTCAGTTGCCTGAGTTTTAACTCCTCTAATTTGAATTGAGTGTTAGGTTTACATGGGCAGGCCCCAGAACCTGGATGCCTGCCCTGTGTTGGCCTTGTTTCTTTAGTGGGTGCTTACTGGCCACTTTCTAGCCTTCATTATTGACACATTCGATGGCAACCTCTCCTAGCTTTTTGTGCCCAGGGACTCTCAGGGTCCAGTGTTGTGGTGATAGAACTAGATACCCTTTCTGACCCCTTCCTAACTTAGTGTTCTCTGATTTTATGATCACATAATAGCCATGTAGGCACCAATATTGACCTTCTGTGGGGGCTTAAATGATTGGGTAGCCACATGAGTTACCACTTCAAGAGGCATTTAGGAGAGCTCACAATCATCAGAGCAACTTCAAGTCTCAATGTTAGTAGCTTATTTGCCAGTTGCTCAGCAGAGAGTATGTATGCCTATGTTTCTGACTGTTTAAAAGCCTTGTATTAGTATTAATGCAGTAGTGTCTGAATTAGGGTATGGACAGCCTACCTGACATATAAATTTTCATTGCCATCATTTATTAAATGTGTTAATTCCAAGTTGTTCAAAGAAGTATTTTCCAACCCCTGTTAAACTGTAGAGATTTTCTCAAATAATGTCCAAAAATATTTTTTGAATGACAGTACTTGTAATTGTTACTTGACTAAAGAAGCATTAATTTCTTACAGGTTTTGTTTTTGGAATTGAAGTTGCCACCAAACGGAGAGATAAAAAACCAAGGCAGCAAGAAAACTTTGGGTTCTACCAGAAGAGGGAATGACAATGGACGCAAGCTAAGGCTGGGAAGACAGTTCAGCACTAGTAAGGTGCTCTTTGGGGCATTCACAGGGCAGAATCTGAACTAATTTAGTATTTTGGTATTTTAGTATTTTCTAGTCCAGATACAAACAAACACATTGGTTTGTGGTTTGGTAGCCCATAAAATCCATGGAGATATCTCAGCTTGGAAAACCTGGGACATAATCTGCATTAGTAATTCTGTTCATCCTATCATTAAAACAGTATAAAGGTTTGTAAATTCAGGCCTGCAGACATTTAATTATTTCCACTCACTACGCTTTAAAAAAAGAAAAGACAAAAACCCTAGCCAGAAAAAATCAAACAAATTTTTTTTTTTAAGTTCTATGGTGAAATAAGTTTTCCATGAGATTGCTTTAAGAATCTAATCTGCTAATTTCAAAGTAAAATTGCTAATCACAGTCCACGGAAGTGCATTAGTGGGAGATAACAGAGAAAGGACTTAATTTTGCATTTTTACTGAATTAAGTCTCAATGGAAAAATAAGGGTAGAAAATACAGCCATAACAGCTTTGGAGAGCTTTCCAAGTTGCCATTCATAGAATTTTAACCCTTAAACCATTAACTATGACTTGCCTGTGCTTGGGAAGTTTCCACAGCTCCATGCTATAGCACAACTTTTCATTTGATCTCACAGGCCCTTTTACCTCACAAGTTTCTATTCATGGCTCATCGAAAGTCTATAGCATAGAAAATTAAAAAATTTAAAAATAAATGTCTTTTGATTTCCTTGACATGGAAGCCATGTAGGTGTCAGGGCAAGAAGGAAAACAACTGGAGTACTTCTAAACACGTGAAGAATGGAAGAGGAAAACGAATAGGGAAAAGACATGTAAATTCTTGGGTGTGGAGAGGCTGTTACTTTGGTAAACTGACATTTCTATGATATTTTTAAAAAGGTAGCTCTAGATTGGTAGTGCTCAGCATTACCATGTCTGCATTTTATAAACTATAGTTATCATAGTTTTATCATTGTGGTAATTCCCAAAAAAACGCTAACAGTAGTTTTGAGTTATAGATATAGGAGTTATGAAATTTGATTTTGGGACTACATTATTCACCTAAAAGAGATTCTAGTTTGCTATAAAATTTGGGCAAGAATCCAATCTTACCTTATTATATTTCTTTGGCAGGATGTTTTAAATAAATTAAAGGCATTACATCCTTTACCGGGCTTGATACTAGAATGGAGAAGAATCACTAATGCTATTACCAAAGTGGTCTTTCCCCTGCAGCGGGGAAAGCGTTTGAATCCTTTTCTTGGAATGGAAAGAATCTATCCTGTATCACAGTCGCACACTGCTACAGGTGATGAGAAGTCTTAAGTATGAATAATATCAAATTTTGAAAGAAAAAATTTTCATATATAAAATTTGCTTATGATGGCTAAGGAATTCAAGTGTTAATCATTGGGTTAAATGAAGTTCCACAACATATACAAAACACATACTATATCCAAAGCGTAGACAGATACTACCTGGATACAAATATGAGTTGTAGTAAGATACAGTATCTGCTTTCAAGTACTTGTATAGAGTAGCTGGGATGTCTGAGACAGGTGCTTTGGATGAGAGTATACACAGTAATTAAGTATTTATATGGGTCAGTGATCATATCTAAGTCAGTCCCAGCCCTTTCTGGAGCCTTCTAAGATTCTCTCCAATCTAGGGCTGGTCAGTTAGCTCAATTGGTTAGAACACAGCCTTGTAAAACCAAGGTCATGGGTTTGCATCCTTGTACTGGCCAGCTAATTAAAAAAAAGGTCGGGCTGGCCTGTGACTCACTCGGGACAGTGTGGTGCTGATAACACCAAGGCCACAGGTTCAGATCCTATGTAGGGATGGCCAGTTGGCTCACTGGCAGAGCGTGGTGCTGACAACACCAAGCCAAGGGTTGAGATCCCCTTACGGGTCATCTTTTATTTTAAAAAAAAAAATTCTCTCCAAGTTAAATCTAAGTAGGCCACTGGGGCATCTATATAATATGTGAGTATTTTATTTTACACAAGCAGAAAAGAAAGCTGTGGAGTCCCTTGGGTGTCTTATGGTCCTCTTGGAATAGGTATTAGTGTAATCTAGTGAGGGAAAAAAAAGTATTTTTTCTCTAGGCAGTACAGAGCTCTAAATGTTTGCCAAAAGTGATGTAGTAGAAGAAAGGGCAGCTTTAATTCATTACTGAAGGAGGTGGTTAGATTGGTGATATTGATTCTGAGCTCTGGAGTCAGAAGACGAGGTTTGAGTACTGGTGCTGTGAGTCTTTACACAAGGTACTTAACCTCTTGGAGCCTAAATTTTCTCATGTATAAAACAAGGTGATAGTATTCGGTCTAAATAGTATTTAGATAGTATTTGATAGTATTCAAATAGTATTTGATAGTATTCACTAAACAAGGTGACCGAATGTTTAGTGTTAGAAGGTGCTCAATATCAGCTGCTGCTGCTGTTAAGGGTGGGGGCCCATGAGGAGCTGCTTTTCTCTCTTCTTGCTTTATTTGTTGTTCTAAACAATTTTCTTTCTTTCCTCTTTAGCTAACCTCTTGGCCTTTCCTAGCCATTTCTTACCTGATGGTATTTAGATTTCACTTTTTTTTTTCCTTTTTGTCTTTTTTACTGACCGGCAACGGGATCGCAACCCTCGGTGCTGCGCCCGCACCGCGCTCAGCCAGTGAGTGGGAACCGGTCTCCACATGGGATCCGAACCCTCGGTGGGAGCGCCCCCGCGCTCCCAAGCGGCGCCCTCTCCCGCGCCCCACCAGCCGGCCCCC